CAGGAATGTAAAAATAATAAACTTTAAAACTTTATACGCATCTGGACAATACTTTTTACTTTTCTTTTCTAGAATAATAGTTTTAAAGAAAATTATATCGAAATGCTGTGGCCACTCCGTCTACTTAAAAATTAATATCCGAACGAAATGGAAACATAGTATTTCAAACAGCTAAAAAAATAAAATAATTGAATAAAATTCAAAATGAATAATTGTAATCAATATATACTTACTTTATTAAGTGCTTTATTAAGTTAATCAGAAATGAAAAGAGAGTAAGAATGAAATGATTTCATGTTGTTTAGTGTTTAATATCATCGATCTTCACACTGTTTTCCACTTCTTTCGAAGACTATCCTGTTATCCATTAAACCAATAAGAACTCACGACACGGGGAAGCTTTCGAAGCTTGAAATGGTGTAGGAACTGCACGGCACTCGTCGCTGCCAATCGTTCCTGCGATGGAACATGCGTTACATCATAATTGGATCACACGCTCGATTCTATCCTCAGCCCGCGCAGCTGAAACAGTCCAATCTTCCACTCAGACGACACTCAACTCAATATGTGGCAGCAACGCCGCTCGCAATTACCTCTTTAACTTCCAATATATCAGACAGGCGTCCAATTGGTTTAATCGGTGGAGGTGTTTTGTACACGTTCACATACAATCCACGTCCACCACCATCGTTGTCGCCCGGTTGGAGAAACTACCTGCTTAAAGCGACGGTGGGTCCTTTCGTGACCGGACTACGACTTAACTTGGATCAGAAACATCCTAACTTCACAGCGGGACTGCGTAATCCGCCCAGGTTGCTGACGATCAAACTCGGCGCTCCTCGACCTACTTTTACATTGGTTAAAGGAGCATCCGCACGTTTTCGAACTTCCTTCCCGAAAGTCGTGCCGCGGCAACTTCTCGCTTTAGCTTTACGCTTACATTCCCTGAGTTAGATTAAGCTGTCACAAGAAAAATCGCAAACCGTTCGAATCAAAGGGAAGAGGATACGAAATTTGCAATTTCTCATTCCCTAGCAATCCCGGTAATCTCATACAATTTTGTGAATTCTCACTAAACTAAATATTAGATACCGTAAAAAACATACATACCGTCAATATCGCGTAGCGGTACTTTTTTTTATAATTAGAAATGCCATTTGTATTCAACTACGATAGCACTGTGATCTTTCACTGAAACTTCGGCAGAATCTTATATTTCCCTCACGTTCCCTTCAGCGCTACTAACGATAATTAGCGAAGAAAGAGCCGTGCATCGTGACCGACGAGCCAGAGGACGAACCAACCGGTAACTTAATCCATCGTATCGATTAGGAAATATAACCCAATTCCAGCTAACCGATTTACTCGCACAAATGGATTAACCCGGCTTGGAGGGGCTACGGCGTGAACACGCCGAATTGCTGCTTACTCCGTTCTTCCGCAGTGCATCCCCGGCTTTGCTATCTCTCCTTTTTCGTCGTTTATCTTGTTTTCAGCCACTCCCCTCGCTTCATTTGTCTGTTACGTGCAATCAAGAATCCGGTTGTCCCGACCGGAGCGCCGTACATCTGTCCGGAGGCTCTTAGAGCCCAGTCAGGGAGTTAGATTTATTTATTTCCCAGAAAAAACTTCTGGAGCTTCAATTCGGAAAGTCTAGCGGAATACGGAAGTAATCGCAAACCGTTATAAATTAATCATAAGAGTTAATTAATGCGCAAAACGGAGAAAATAATTCTATTAAACTAATTTAATCAATAACAATTAATAATAGTAATAACAAGAGCTTCAAAGCAAATATTATTAATATTAATAATACAGAAATACACAGAAACGTTTATTAGATGAAACCATTTTACATTGAACTATCGATTTTGCTGATGTTTTCGGAAAATTTATCTTTAAATTAATTAAATGGCTGTGTACCGTAGATAAAAAGTTATGCACAAATTAGAAACAATCAGCGTGCATTCAAAGTTGTATATTTTTATTAAATCATACTTCTCTGCAATTGAATTATATTTGAAGCATGTCCACTACCGTGCGCGGATAATTCGAAGAGATGAAGTAAGACTATCTTTGGCTATCTTCCAGCTTAGAAAAAAATTCTCATTATTTTGCCATTAAGTTTTTTCCTCCCCAATTTTTGTCGGACGTTGAGCACACCGATACTTTTAGTAAATTAATTTTACGGTGCTTGCTCCGTTTCTAAGTTAATGATACTGAGGAAAAAGTAATATTTATTACGCGGGATTCCTTCTCTCGCGTATCGTTTTTTTTTCCTACGTCACTGCGTAAGAACGCCCGGGACTTTTGCCAGTGATATTTTTTCACGTCGTGTCTGATTGCTTCCGGCTTCAGAAAATATGAGCGGACATTTATAGGATTGCGAAGCGTCGGGATCTAAGCGCGATTATTTATGGTATTTGTCGGACTTGGTTTGTTAAGCAACTTATAAATTACGCGCGGCACACGACACATCTCAACGATTCCTTCACGAGAGATGGAAACGATCATTTCTGTGAACTCTGCAAGATGTCTGTCTCGGTTTATCTTTAGAATTTTCTTTCATGACATCTACCATTTTTTGACAAATCTTTCTGGATTTAAAGAGGTGAAAAATATTCCAAGCTGAAATAACATTTGAATTATATTTATAGGTAAAAGTTTGTGAAGTCATACTGTTAGATGTTACTAGAATTTACTATTAACTTCTTTAAATATATATATTATAATGTTGCCCTGCATTATATTATCTGTATTCCTTGGTCATCAAATTTAATATTTAATAGACGCTTTCGATTTTTATGATATTTAATATCGTTGGAATAGGCCGTCTTAAATCATTGAAATCACTTATGGTACAAACTTTCAGCAACAACAGATTCGCCGTAAGTTTTACATTAAATTTTTATGGCTTCAATACTATTCTACTTCTTGTTATAAATAAATAACAAGCATCGCGAATGTACTTTATTAGATATCAAACAATTTAATAGCCAAGGAATATAGTTAGTATAATGTAGGGCATTCAATATTATGATATAATATATGTATAACTAAAAAGTTTTACAATAAATTCTAGTAACATTTAACAATAATTCTACGAACTTTTGTAAATACCTAATAATAAATACGTCTTGAAGAAAAAAATTTATTTCATATAACTAAAAGATTATTTTCAAAGTATTCATATTTTGGGGATTATAAGAAAAGAGGAAACCATTGGACGCGATTCGACCGAATTAATTCTTCCGAATAAATGAAGAAAGTTATTCGACTGTTTCAATATTTTTATAAAAGTGCAAAATGCGTTCCACGAACGATATATCGTGTGAGTATTATACTTCCAGGAAATATCTTTTTTTAAACCACTTTAAATCACTTACATCCCGTGAAAGTGAAACGTTACCTTAAGGCGATAAGTTCCGGATTAAATCGAACATTCTGACTGCTTTCCCGTCGAACCCGACGTAAAACCAACTCGGAAGAGATTTTTCGTAAGTATTCGATTCGAGCAGCCGCACCTCGTGTTCAAGCTTTATACTACGTGAATTTTTAAGCGGAAAATCCAATATTGGTGCCGCGGCGCATTGTTAAGTTCCCGCTTGTTTCCTTTTTCTGGTCGCTTCAGTACTCCCCTTTTGCTCTTCCTCCTTATCTCTCATCCCTACCCAGAGACGTACTGTCAATCGAGTTATTCTTACGGGATTTCTGCGACGCGCGCATAATGCTATTCATGAGTCCGCATGATTATCGGAAAACTATATTTATCCTGGGCACCATATTAAATCCCTGTTTCGATGTTGGCCTTTCATCTAGTCGGCTATGGCCACGCTTATCCTCGGCCTCTCGATGAGGGGACGAAGATAAATATCGTCGATGATGAAAATAAAATCCTTGACACGGGTCCGACGGGTAGGGCCTCGACCTCGTCACCCCCGCGAACGTCATTTTCCGAAAGCCCATGGGTTTCGTGCGTCTCGTGCGGGCGATATACTCACGCACACGCAGCCTGCCATGTAGGGCTTAATGGTGGCATCTGCATCTTTTATAAGCTCGGCGTTATCTGCATCCCCGGACGTGCACCGCCGATGCTTTCCGGTCTATGTACGTACCACGACGCGATCGCCGCCTCTGCTTGGCACACGTGTGCCACACAGATACCGGTCGTCGATTTATCGCCGGTGCGTATCGCCCTCGGAGTGACGTCGGATCAAGCGACCCGCTTTGGAGTATGTTGCAGTCAACTCTCCCATTTATTACCTCGACGCACCGATACGCCGATGAGTATCGGCATGAATTTAACTAATAATCAGCAGTAAGCGAGACACATGAGAGATACTAATCGACGTTGACTCCGTTCTGATTCGCAATCGCACGGACAATTTGTCATCATAGCCGATCATTCGATTTACAGTTATTAATCGCGACGATCAAATCATCGTAGTAACCTGAGCGTCTTAATTTAATTCTTAATTACAGTTATGGGAAAAACACTTAGAGCGTTCTACTTCGGATCTACTTCGGATATATAAATACCAATTATGGTTAAAACTTCACAGACTGTACTAACCGTTAAATTTTCACTTCGAGTCTAAATGATTTGTTTGCGAAAAGAACGGTTTTGCTGAAATCTAATATCTAGCGTAAAATTTAGCTAGATCTAAAATAATTTTATTGGCTCATCAAAAACTTATGTAAAAGTACGTACTTAAGCGTTAATGACAATGCAGCAAAAAGTTTCAACATTTTAACAACCAGTTTGAGCGTTTCACATAATTATTTTGATAGTTCAAACATAATTATTTTCAGATCTGTATCTAGCTAAATTTTTAGATACTTCAACAAAATCGTTCTTTCCGTATTTCTGTAGTAGATACGTTAAATGTAGTCTTGCGTGAGTTAATATACATACGTATGTACGATGCGTAATCATGCGGTTTAATGATTTTCGCAACTCTAAGCGATACCCTAACATTGGTTATTTCTTGTTGTTTTAGGCTTCCGCCACCGCAACAGCAGGTGACGGTGGGTTCTCTGGGCGGCGGTTTAGGCGGTGCCGGAAATGGCGGTACCGCCACGGTAGGCGCGCAAGGCCAAGCCATGGTGATGCCAGGTTTTCCGCTTCGTGCCGCAGCGGTGCCGCACTATTCCCCGTATTCACCATCGCGTTTTCACATCGACAAACGTTGTCAGCACAGGTGCTCTTGGAAATGCTTCTCGATCGCTCTGATCCTCCTGGCTGTGGCGCTGACGGCGATGCTGGCGTACTTTGCTGGTAAGTAATCATCGCATTAAACCTCTGCTGAAACAAACTTATCTCATAACTTTGAATGCGGTCGAATGCGTGTAGCTGCTATAGCTCTGAATATATATAACAGCTGATTTTAGAGTAACCTATAATATACATGATAATTTTCCTGTCCTTTACCATATACGATGGGTTGTTCGTGTTTCGGGTTAATTTTCATTACTTTTACAAATATGTAAAATTATTAATCTTACATATACTTTAACATCTTTAAAAAGTATTGTTCAGTCACCCAAGCAAGGAGACATTTTAATGACATCTTGTTAACGTTAAAGACATCATTAAGACATTATTAAGATCTTTATTTTGTAACTCTTAATATCAATAACGATATCGTTACTTGTCGTTGCACAGGTTTTATACATACATAGTAAAAAACTACATCGTTACGCAACGATAATATAACGACACCGACTTGGTCGTTAAGAGTTAGAATAGGGACCTAAGATGTCACTTGACATCATCTTGTTACTTAAGCAAGTACTCCTAGTATTTCAAAGAAAAACAATGCCTGGGACACAAATGACCTCTAATCGTGTGTACTAAATAGATACCAGATTAGATTAATGTGAAATGAAGCTGAGCTAAAGATATATATAACCAAATCCATTTCTGTAATGTATGAAGAGAGTGGAGAGACAGCTATTTAATGCAACCATTTCATAAATAATATTTACCTCAATGTAAATTTGAATGAGCCGTTTTTATTAGTCCCAGAGCGCACGTCCGAGTAGTAACATAGCCGCCGGCGGATAGTCGGACGCAATTCTATTGCTGGCTGACCCGAAATTCACGGTACAATAATTCATTATTAACTTGCAAATCTGGTTACGACTAACCCAACCCACCTAATGCTAAAATCCATCGGAACGTCGGCATTACTGCACCATGCTAATCCCTGTACGCACAGAGGGGGATTATACATATGACTGACACCATAACATTCCGCGTGAAGGCATGACGAATTTCCTGTAATCATGCAAATCATAACTAAATGAGATTCACAAATATTAGCAAACATAAAATTCGTATTTTCGCTCTATTTCTAAAGAAAAAAAATATTAAGAGCGAGGTAATCAAATTTATCTATAAAAACACCTTTTTCAGTGCCATAATAACAGTCAATTTAGATAATATATTTAAAATTTAATAAACAAAAGCGGAATCAAACGAACAAAGCATGAAATTAATAAAAAGGGAGAGCACAAAAGAATCAATTAAATTCGTGCGAGAAAAAGAAAGAAACAATCCAAAATATTCGAAATATTATACAGTGCAGCTGTATTACATTTGTTTACAGAACATTTTGTATACGATATATTGACACTTTTCTTGTAATGTCGAAGCATATAATATTGCCGCGCAGCAGCGTTATTTTACGATTAACGTTTAAACACTATATTTTCTTGCGATAAAAGCAGTTTTTGATTATAAAACACGCGAGTCCGTTTGTTTTTATTTTACGTTATGTTGAAACATTTGTTTCAAAGAGATATTGCCAAAGGCATGTTGTCTTACAGATTTTCGAAATACCGCCCTAAAAGAATTATTTTCACTGTTCAAACTGGTAGTCATGATTTTTATCACGTAATAGAAGAATTCTTACGTAACATATATACATATAAAAAAGAAACGTGGGAAAAATAAATAGAATTATGATCATATTTTTCTTGCTTACTAAAATCGTTTACTTTCAATCTTGAATTTAACTTCTCTCGTTGTTAGATTACTATTATCATATCCGTAGAGTAGAATAATATGATCGTGCGTAGATGTACAAAGTTGTATTCGGGAAAATTAAATACTGTTCAACAGCGGAAGTCCGGATCTTCCGTAGGAAGCGTAGCTACGGCGTAACATTGCCAGCGTAATGGTTCATTTAACATGGAGTGGTTGGCTCCATCCGGTTAGGGAGAGGCAAAAATATTGCCCGTCGATAGCGAAGAAGCGTTTCCGTGGCATGGGGTGCGTTTTACCCATAACATTCGTAGCTGAGGAACTACACACCCACATCGCACGATCAGGGAGGAAAGGTGAACTCATATACGAATCGATACCACGCCTTTCTATCCGTTAAAATAATAGTAATTGAACTCCACAGGAGACACAGAAAGGTACTTTATCTCAGATGGCAACACTAGTGTGCCTTTAACGTCCTTAAATGTCAATTTAACATTTTTTTCAAATTTTGGTTGTATTCGCTCGAGGAGGAGCGGATTATCGGAATTTAAAAGTACGTGTCTTTGCTAAACGAATCGGGCAATTTCGCAGGGCAATGGCCTACCCGACGTACAAATCGATAGCCGTGCAACTAACGGCGCACTACCTCGGTGCGCCCTATGGCTAACATTGGTAAACTTTGCTGCATAAATAACAACGGCAAAACCCCGCGATGTATGTAAACGTGAAATCTTACTAAAGCTAAACACTACGACGACATTCTTGCCGTTAGCTGGCTCTATTAACGAGCTCGCGGCAAGAAAACGAGAGACAAATCGTCCTCGTTGATCCACATCGTTAAGATCAACGTTGAAAGAACCACGTTAGGTTATCGTTACTGCAAAAAGGTCTGGGAAAATAGTCTCCACCAGGTCCGTTATGCTAATGCAGAAACCAACGGGGTGCGAGGCCAAAGATACGCGCGAACAGGCTTGAAAATCACTGCATCTCCACGGCGTTGGGTCCGATTAGAGGAATTAATGCTTGCCTGTTATCAGCGTGCAACAGAAAGGAACCTGCTTTCTTCCCTCCTGCCTCTTATCCACCTTCACGCAAATCGTATTTTTGCATTTTGCATCTGAAAATTCGTACGATGGTCATGGTCCGACTTGCGAATGTATTAGACTTCATCATCCGAAGTCGCAGAGACTAAGGGGATTTGACGGGAAAAGGAAGGGATGCGAGAGTAGCTGGACTGTATTGTGCTCTGCGAATCTATAAACACCCCTCCTCTGCGGAACTGTCCATCTCGACTTCGGCGTCCATGTTCTTCTTCCACCTCCCCATTCTGTCTGCGTGTCGCAGGAAGAGGGAGGGACGTGGTGGAGACTGCAAAGTCGGTTCTCAGCCTCGAGGAGACTGCTCGCCAGCTGTTATTTCTGCATTCCAGTAAATCGAGTCTGGAATCCAATCTGCCTGTTTGCTACTGTATCCAAACTACCCCGCAGCCAACCTCTAGCGTTACCCCTCTCCGGCCTCCCCCGCGCCCGCGTCTCTTTTACGGTTGCTGGAGGTCCGTTTATTCTCTCTCGCCGAGCACACACACACACACGCACACAAGCACACGGCTGCGTATATACGTGCGCACACATTGCGAAATACACGAAGCTGTGCGCGAACCCTTCCTCCTCGTTTCGTCCTTCTACCTCGCTCCAGAACGCACGAATTTTGCATGCACGCGAGTTGCCTTGCTTTTCGGTAATTTGACGTATGTCTGCTTGCTCGCTTACTCGCTCGCTTGTGGCGCTCTCATAAGGCCAAAATCATTTCGCGACAAGCCACTTCCGACGTGGACCTCTTTCACGATTTCATTTGCAAGTAGCTAACGAAACTGTTGCAACGGTATTTTCTTTTGACAAACAGTCGTGAAGTTGAGAGTTAAGTTAGACAATTTTGTGTTTGTCACTCATAATTATTTTTAATGTATTTGTAAATCTTATGAAAATAAAATTTTGTGTATATACTTTTGCCCTCATTTCTGACATAAGTATTTAATTTTCAAAACGCGAATCACAAGTATCCTGCGATAGAATTAAAAGTAAGAGGGAAGAAAATGTTATACAAATTCGCGGAACACGATGCAATCTAACTATTCGTATTCTTTCCTCTTTCCTTGTTTCTTTAAATCCTCTTAGACTCTGCGATTTCGGATAATAAAGTCTAATACACTACTTACAAGACGGACTTTGACCGTTATACAAATTTTCAAATCTCTCGCGTAAAAATCCTTTAATTATATGATTGAAAATTGATACAACTTTAAAGTGACAACTTTTTATGGAAGGTTTGTCATTAAAAAACCGCGATATAATTCAACCGCTTGTTTTCTGTCACGAGAGAACATTATTACTACGCCATTAATAGTTAACTCGTCAATAATAACGACATAGCAGGCAGCTCGATAACGCTGTCGTGTCTGGACTCACGCTTCGGCGGATCGGAACGAAAGGGTAGACGGATCGATTGTAAACATTTCATTATAACGTACGAGCGGAAGTGGGCGGTAGAACGGACCGGTCGGGGTGGCGGCGGGATAATCCTACGATAATCCGGGAATCATTCTCGGGAATGATCAGTCGCGCTCGCCTTTTCCATCCCTTGCGAAGGCAAGGTAACAGGCGGTGTAACGACCCCTTCCGTAGCTCGCATTATGGCCATTTTAAATTTCCGGTGGTTCGTCATCAAAACTTGGCAATCTCACGTTTCATATATATTGAATTTTGAGATGACTTTGTTTCGCAGTATTGTCCTTATAGCTAAACACACAGGACGTCTCGGAGGTCGCAGCTGCCGGTAGATTAAATTGCTTAGAGATCCCAAGTGCAAGCTCATTTTGCATTCGCCATCCGAAGTTCCTAATTTACAACGTCAAATATTTTAGGAACCAACGGCTACGATATTAAAGCGTTGCTAAAATAAAGTCTATATAAGATAAACTGAGAAACGCACGGCTGCATTACCGAAGATTGATATAAGAAAACTTATTTTCGGTTAATTACTAATATCGATTTTTTTATATATATAAAATGATTCGTCTCTTTTCTGTTAATCGTAGTATTAGTATGTTAAAATTACTGCGTGACTTTTTTTTAGACATCCAGTGCGATATGTGGAAAGTTGGATTGCTGAGTTGCAGCGACGTGAAGCGGGAACGAAAACGATGCCACGCTGACTGGCATATACGCGAAATAAGGTCATTCACAGTTCACTGCAACTCAATTTCAGCGATAGTTACATGGTGGCCAGGCAACGTCGATCCCGAAGGAATAGTCGCTCTTTTCCGGTCATTTCGCCTATCTCCGGTCTGACGTGCGTACATGTGTATATGTACACGCTCGCTCGTGTCCATATGCGTACGTACACGAAAAACTTTTACGTGTACGGGTAATCCCTCATCTCGCACGTATCGCACAGCTTCCTTACCTCGAAGAAACTTGTCAAGAACTATTGTCTACACAAAAGACTATCCTATGGTCAGAGACAAAGTTATTAGAAAAATTATTGGGGGAATTAGGTATCATTCTACATTTATTAAATTATCTATTATTATTTAAACTTTCACATGTTTGCATGCTATTTCTTTCGTTTCAAATATTGAAAGCTTACTTATGGTCTCCATTTTATTTAATGCTATATTTTTCTGTATGTTTTAGCAAAAAGCTATATAGATATAATAAAATAATAATGTATATGACAATGGCAATTTCACTAGAAACGGTACGTAGGCGTGCGCAATAACGAGTGTTATTATCATGACAGAAAGCTTATACAATCCGCGATACGATAAATCGCGGGGCGCGAAAACGCGTCCATTAAATATCGGCGCCGAGTGTATCGGCGAATCGCGATTTGTCAAATCATCCGCGCGGCAATAACACGCAAATTCAATTATGCTTTATCGATGTTTTGTTGCGTTGATAAGCCAAGAGGTCGTTAGGCGGGGTTGCGTTGGCCCGGGCCTGCCGCTTTTTAAAAACTCTCGTTAAACCGCGTAATTAATTCGTGGCGCTCGCGGCGCACGAGACAGATAATTAATTAAACCGCAATATCCCGCCACGGATAAGGGTTTTATTGCCAAATTTATCATGGCGTTTAAATTCAACGAACTTGCACTTATCGCTCAGAAAACATTAATATAAATGACCTGAAACTACTGATATAGCATCAACATAATTGGATCTTGGATTATATCACGCGATATTAATTGGTATTTTTAAGGGATCCTCATCCAAATCTTGGATATCATTTGTCATTGGACGTACGGCTCCCTTACTTCAAAAGACATTATTAAAAAAAATAAGATTTTTGAGTTACTTATTGTCTACTACCATGAATGAGTTAGAAAAATATTATTCTATCAATTATTAAAAGTAAACAAACTTAATTTAATAAAAAATAGTCACAACTTAAAAAGAGTGGTTTTTGAAAAAGAATCTCACACACGCACGCGCACATACGCATCAAAATCGCCATAATTCAAAAAGAATTTCTGAGAACTATAAAACGAAAACGACAAAAATGATATTTGATCATGTTAAGAAATATTATTTTACCGATATTGTTTAACTAATAAATTAAATAATCTTCCGTCAAGTTGAAAAATAGCTTTCCCCTTTTCTAGGAAACTTAATTTTTTACACTGTATCATTTTTTATGTAAGAGAGCGATATTATATATAATAAGTATCACTGAATTAATCGTTGATTATCAATCTGTTTTATTGAAATGTAAGAAAAATTCTATCAACTATTTTGTTGGAATTAAAGAGAAATATTATATATAGACGATATAAAAAAGGTATTATAGCATGTACTAGCCCAGAATTCTTGATTTGATGAAGCAATATTGTACGCTCGATACAACTGTGATTTAAGCCATGAGATCTCAAACTTTATTACAGGGATACGTTGTTTTAAAAGTTACTCGAGCAAGAAGGTCGGGTTGTCATGGGAAATCTAGTGTGCTATCGTAATTCGAAAGCGATTGTCCGAATTTATGAACCCATTAGGCTGCTGCCAGACGTTCGACTAAAGCCGTTCTTGATTCCTGACGTGCGTCGTGTGGGCAATACTATTTCGTACTAGAATACTGGTCGTACATTGCAAATATAACATTTGTGTCTTATACACGCGATTGCGTGTGGGACATTTCTCTTTCCGCACATAATAGATTTTCATCTTTCTTTTATTCTAAAATGGAATGGCTTTGTTTACTTTCCAGCAGTGAGTTCTATGCGCCCGATAGACAGCACTAACTGCATTCTGGTTCAAGATATCAAGGCTGTCACTCATGAAAACGCACACATCCACGACTCGATATCCACGCAGATCCCCACAGAAGGTAAATATCGAGCGGTATTAATTTGCATCTACTCTGCATGATGTAAATACTCTCGCGCACAGCGTCATACGCTAATTGCTTTTGGGAAACGCGAGTGGATGAACATTTCATCGATATAATATCTTTAGCAAGAACTATATCCAAATGTCATCCGCTGTAAAGATTTCACACTATGAGGTGTACACTGAACTAAAACTGTACGTAAATACAATAAAATATTCATTGAATTATGAAAAAATAATGAAAATTGGCCTAATGAATTCTCATAATAATTTAGATTATAAAACTATTACTAGAATTCATTGCAAGAATGAATATATAGTTGTATAAATGAATTCAGTTATTGTATCAATGAATTAACTACAAGTTGGACATTAATTAACGATCATTCATTGACCAAAAATGAATAAAATTTATTTCGGTGTACCAATTTCAAAAGATAATTGAACAATTGAAGTACATTGACACACTTGATACGAAGATAAACTGAGAGAGATATAAAGCAATAAAAAGTTATATAAAAAGAACGTGATCTGCTTGGCTTAAAAATATCTGACAACATTCTATTTATAAAATATTTTTTTATGTTCTTCTGAAATAATACATTTAGAAATAAAAATATGATATTTTCCCTTTTAATTGTTTACTCGTCAAACTTATACACTATACTTATACACTAGACTTTCCTAACGATTTGCTACTGTGTCATCCAATGTGTTACATCCTCGTGTTTCTCCTTCCTAAAGAATCCCTGCCTACGAGTACGGCGGAGCATTCGAGCGCCGCGGATAGCGCCGGCGATCAGCAGAGCGATCCACAGATCCAGCAATCGGCGCAGCAATGGCCAGCCGTGCTCGAGCTACAGGCCTACAACGTAGCGCACTCCGCCATTATTCAGCCGTACCACTTCTGGAACACGGAGTTCCGCAACAAGCAGCCAGCTTTCATCAGACTGAACTTGACCCTACCATGGGGTGCGAATTTCGCAGTGTACGGCAGACGGAACGTCGCGCCCAGCGTCACGCAGTACGATTTCGTGGAGTTCGTGAAAGGTGGCAGGGTGGTCCACAGGTTGAAGAGAGACATCACTGCCGTCAGTTTTATGCAGTCCACCAATCCGCAAGACATCCACGTGGAACGCGTGCCGCAACCGATCGCGCCTTATCAACACGTGCTCATCAAGAGGACCATTGTGGAACCACTGATGGTCAATGTCAGTCTACTGCAATACTTTGACACCGGCGACTGGTTCCTGTCCGTATATAACGATGAGTTACAGCCTTACAAGGTTACTCTGGTCGTGACGGAAGCCGAAGGTGTTTCCACTACGTGTCCCAATGACTGTTCCGGACGTGGATCGTGCTACCTTGGCAAATGCGATTGTATAGACGGATATCAGGTGCGTTTTTCCGAAATTATCTTTAAATTAAATAAGAAAAAAATTCTATTTTTGGGATCGAAACGGATCTTGGAGCTTAATAATATTTAATATGTAGATTTACAATTATATTTTTCATTTGTATAAACTGCGCGCCGATTCAGTTTATCGAAATGTTTCTTTTATTTATCTCAGTAACAAAAAATCTTAGAAACATTAAAAAAAAATGATTTTGTCAAAAAAATTAAAATTTTACAACAGAGTCGAAAATTTAACAATTTTTTTGCACGTTACAGTCCACAAAGTGAAAAGAAAATATCCTATTTTGTCCAGTTCATAATTTTCTATATGTAAAAATTACCAAACTCACAAAAACACAAAAAACATAGTGACCCTTCGAAAGTAGAGACTTTAAACTTTAAAATCCTTTTTTGAAATTAATATTTTATTCATTTTTAACGAATTGTATATATTTTATATACAATTTTGAATTAAAAATACGACCTTATACTTTTCTTCCAACCTAATATTATTTTTAAATTATTTGTTCATTTAAAGAAATTAAAGATTAAGGAAACCAAATTTTTGTGATTCCAGGGTGCTGATTGCAGCAAAAGCGTGTGTCCGGTTTTGTGTTCTTCACACGGACAATACGGCGGTGGTATGTGTCATTGCGAGGAGGGCTGGAAAGGCGCGGAATGTGACATACCGTTAGGTGACTGCCAAGTTCCTGACTGTAATCAGCATGGCCAATGCGTTAGAGGATCTTGCGTCTGTAATCCCGGCTGGAAGGGCAACTTTTGCGACGAACGTAAGTTGGTGATAAAGGATCAATCAAATGACATACATTTAAAAAAAGATTTGAGAAGCATATCTCGAGATATTAAAAAATTTAGGAGTAATTTATTTGCTTCTAAATTTAATTTATATTTTCCTTTATGAATGAAAAAGGGAAAAGATCGACTGTATCGGAATATCGGAATACTTTGAAAAGATCTGAATACAATTTACGAGCGATGACGTTGCATTGCAAATGTGCACGACGTCATGGCACATATTTCAGCCTTAAAAACGGCTTAGCGGAAATCACGGGTGACGGAAAACGTTTACCTCGAACATCTATTTCTGCCCCGAGATCGTTATTTCTTCATGTTTGTCACAGCATCATTAATTTCCCCATAATTCAAGCGTACGTCCTGGCCCTCTATCCGGGGAGATTCAAGATATTAGTAATGCAGAGTCCTCGTCGGTGGGAAACACAGCCGGCCTGTGTACAACCTATAATTAATGCACGCGGAGTTCTCCAAATTTACATATGGGTCAAGCCATGCCAATTCGGCGCGACAATTAGTTTCGTATTGTTTCGCGGGAATTTGAATAATACACGGGCGTGCGCGCGCGCAGCACGCAGCTGCGTTCGATATGTTATAATTTCGCGTAGCCCTGGAACTTCCGGGGACTGAGTGACGCACGATATAAATGACGAGATTATTCGCCGGGAACGAGACACTTCGTCTCTGACATTCTCACGGTCTTCGTTAGAGATACGCTCGCCCGTCGCTTTTTCCTAAACGCAGGCGAAAACGGTATTAGTTCCACGTCAGTGGAATATGTCAGTTCCAATCGTAAGAACGATAAATTTGAAGAGCGGAAACGGATTTGCATTAGTTGCGACGGCAAATGAGAACTAACTGGCGAATAAGAATCCGAATCAAAAGTCATTTCTTTTAAAGACTTTCTTTTAGTGACAATAGAACAATCTCTATATTATATTTTATACGATATATTTAATTTTGAAAGATTTATTTTCGTTATTTAATTATCAAAATGACGCAGAGTTGGGCGAATTATTCCAATAATTTTTCATTTAACCTACTATTTAAATAAAATTTTATTTATTATTTGCATTATTCTCATTATTATTTTTTTTATTGTTACTTGCAAACGAAGCTCTCCAACTCGAAAAATGAATTTAAAAAATATATATTATAAAACTTTAAATTAATCTAAAAAAATATTATGCAATTAACATTAAACATTAATTAGTAGGACCATAATTAATGTGTACCACTTGAATTTTTATCACATACAAAAATAATAATTTGAGAGAGAGAGAAGCTTTCTGAAAACGTAACATGTAATTTCTTTCTAATTATATAATTTAATTTTCTGTCCAATTATATTAAGTTTTTTGTTTTTTATCAACTTATAAATACGTTTTGAAAATGAATTTCTATAAACAAAAAATGTACAATAATTTTATTTGTACTACTAACAGTAATACAATATATAAATAATCATTATTCATTCAAATTATTATTATATTATTCGATAATATAATGGAATAATATTATTTGTATATTATTCGTGCAAATAGTAGATAATGAATATATATTATTCAAATAATTATTTAGATAAGAATTTATTTAAATTATCGTTGAATTATCGAATAAATTGTTGATCGAACAAAAATTTGTTTATGATTTACGAATAAATTATGTCTTGTCTTTTTTATTATCTAGTATTTAAATAAAATTTTGTTCATTTCTGCCGAATGAACAATTCCCTAAAACTACCGTTTCGCTTATCGTTCATGACTTAGAAATTGATGTCTCAACATTTTTACCGAAAAAAGCTCATTTCGAGGAAACATTCTGTATGTACCATTAAATACACTTAATGGTATTATACTTCAACGCTTAATTTATCGCGTTTCGCGTTTCTGCGTTTCACGATAGCGCGCGAACGCACCTGTCAGGTTCTAATGAAAGCGAACAAATCTATGATCCCGTTCGATCAACGTCGCGCATACATAATGTAAGAAGAATCCGCCAGGAATTTCTCTCATCTCTCGTATCCCGTATACGTATAACGCAGCGGACGCAGATGACGACGCGGCCGGCGACTGCACCGCCGCTGCCGTCGCTGCTGCGCCAAGGACGCAGCAGTGGAATTAAGTTTCATAATTTCCCCGGGGCAGGTGGGATCTGCGGGAATAATGCAATTGTTCCGATGCCATAATTTAAAAAGTTGGTCCATTCGTCCACGCCATGGACGCAATCAGCGGCGCCCGGGCGTGACGGGAGAGGGAAGACGGGGATGGGCTCTGATAACTGACGGGATACGCCGGGGATGCGTTCACCTCGCAAACGGGAAGTTTAGCCTTTAACGAGAAGCTCCAGGTTGCACTGAACCGTAAAAACGCGATGGTTTCTAATCTAAACGCGCACTCGATTCGTTCTCTCTCTCAACTTTCAGCCGACTGCTCTGATCCGAACTGCAGCGGCCACGGCGCTTGTGTCTCCGGCAAGTGTTACTGCAAGGCCGGCTGGCAGGGCGAGCGGTGCAATCAGGTTGATCAGCAGGTGTACCAGTGTCTGCCCGGTTGCTCCGATCACGGCACGTACGACCTCGAATCTGCGGCCTGCGTTTGCGAGGAGCATTGGACGGGGGTCGATTGCTCGCAGCCGAGTTGCGGTCTAGACTGCGGACTTCATGGATCCTGCGAGCAAGGCCGCTGCAAGTCAGTATACACATATGACGCACACACGTACTCCGTCCTTTATACATCGTCGTCCTTTATGGGCCCTCCGTGGACGTGTTGCGACCGGGATTTCGGAATTGGGTTACCCGTTGGCGCAACCGGCCAACAGCCGCTCTCTCCGGGATTGAACGAGGAAAGTGACGCGTGTCTCAACGCCCAGGGTCGTTTTTCTCGGATTAAAGGAATTCCATGCGACCTCGATTCGTTTCTCTTCCATATGACGCCCACACCTCGCGCAAGATCATTGTTTAATGCGGGAGATTTGCGGAATTGTGCGGACGTGGCGACCATTTACGCGCTCTCTCTGTGCTTCATAGAGTGTGACGTGCAAGCTTTTTGCAACTTTTACGACTGGAATAGATTACCGGGTAATGCCGCGTCGAAGAGTGAGAAACGTCGTAAAGTTTTCAACGAATGCACGAGGGAGGCACGTCGTGAAGCATTTAATAGTAATCCGCGCTCGGGAAGGAAAGAGAAAGAGTAACGTTTTGTCGGGACATTGAAATATTGTGGGATAGATGTGGGCGAAGAATGGCCTAAAAATGAGTAAATTGCTCGCCAGGATCGCAGGCACAAAAGTTGAGGCTAAAAAGGTGAAAAATTGCGAGAAAAAGGCTCTGTCTTACGAGGCGCCAACTTATCACAACTCGAAGGACCTTCCTCGTCCCTTCCTACTTTCCTTTGTCAGAATCAAGGACGCGAGAGAGGATCTCCTTTCTCATATTCTAAAGCTGACGCTTCTCGTCTACTACCCCCTCTCTTCCCCCTCCCCTTTTTCTCTCGTTCCATCCCCGAGAGTTGGCGTAAAAGAGGCTCTAAGTGCAAAAAGTTCCTTACTACGGCAGAACAACTTCGGAACTCAGTTCAAACTCGCATTTTTTATTGCAGCCAGTATAAACGGCGAGAAATTATTTTACGTTCGGCGATACCGCCGTTTAACATAACGAATCCTGTTAGAAACATTTTCGTATCGTGTACGAAGTACGAAACAATTAATGTACCATAATGCGAGTAATAGGTATACATATGTAACAAAACTATTATTATATTTTCTATGCGGATACTCTTCTTGTTTTTATTTCGTAACTTCGGTTGTTGAATAAAAATTAATTAATGTCCGTAATATATGTAAAATCTGTGAGATGCGAGATATATTTATATTTTTAGATGTCATGATGACTGGACCGGAACGAAATGCGATCAAAAACCGTGTGATTTGCGTTGCGCCGAGCATGGTCAGTGCAAAAATGGAACCTGCGTGTGCAGCCAAGGATGGAACGGAAGACATTGCACATTACGTACGTAAAAAATAGAAGACTATGTCACAATAAATTCGATATTTTACTTTGTTGTGTGAGCATATATTTTGCTATCAATAATAAGTTCTCCGATACGAAACGACGCAATATCATTTTTCAATAATCGATTAGTCGACTGCAATTATTGAAAACGATGTCTGGAAATGGTTTTCTCTCTTTAATAGCCGGATGTGAGAATGGATGTAGCCGCCATGGATTGTGCACCCTACAGGATGGCGAATACAGTTGCGAATGTTCAACCGGGTGGGCCGGCAGAGATTGCAGCATACGACTCGAATTGGAATGTAATGATTACGTTGACAATGACGAAGGTAAGTCCTCAAGTAACCCAATATTAAATCAACGTTGATTAATGGCATACTATTGCCCATATCTGTATCTAACGGATATTATTCTTGAAAAATCAATAAACGTAGGAAGGAAATTTACTGATTATGAGATAATATTGTCTACAGGAAAATGTTAATTGCATTCTACATAACATTAAACTATAACAGTATGAACAAAATTTCAATTTTTATTATTGGCATTACTGCTTTTATCCAATCTTTTATTAAGCTCATAAAAATATAAAAATGCGAGAGATAAGATCATTTAAGGATGTATCATATGTATAATATAATCTCTGCAAAAATGACTGAAATTGAAAATTTATACTTTCCGTATAAAAATGAATGTTAGTACACGTATGAAACACATCAATAAAGTCAATATTTATATTTAACAATACAATTTTATAGTTTATATTGAAAATTTTTTCATTTTACCTTAATTATTTTTTAAAAACATGTCTACTTCTTAAACAATTTTCGATCCATGTCGTAAATCACCGTCCATCTTTTTGTATTATTTTCGCACACAAATGCAATATAGAAAATTTTTTTTTTCATTTTGTTAAAAAATATGTGTAATATTATACACGTATTTTTTAACAAAATACATCCTTAAAAGATCGTTTAAGAAATAGAATCTTATCGAGAGTGCAAGACACGTTCGAGTGGATATCTAACAGATTGCCTTTCTCAGATGGCATGATGGACTGCTCTGACAGCGAGTGCTGCTCGCACGAAGCTTGTTCAGAACATATCATGTGCCTTGCTAGTAATAATCCCGTGGACGTTCTCCTCCGAAAACAACCACCCAGCGTCACAGCGTCCTTCTATCAACGAGTAAAGTTCCTCGTCGAGGAGAACAGCGTACAGAGCTACGCCCACATGGACGAGTACACGGAAAGGTAAGATCGATCATTTCCACCCGGACGGATTAAAATTCGAATTAGAGTTCGCTTAGTCTCTTTCATAAGATAAGCGAGAGTGACGTGTTCGAACGACCGAGAACTTGCCATTCCTTCATAACATTTCTGACAGATTTTTCGCCCAGTACGCGATTTCTCTTCTTTTTATTTTTGCATTAATGTTTTAGAGTACATATACATAAACGCGGGTAACGACTCGGTCGATCGTAAACGTTGCACACATGACATTTAATGAAGATAAAATAGCATAGCTGCGTGTCATAGTTTGGCCTTTTTACGACTTTCATGCGACCGCGTATTACTTTTCTCGGTTTTATCGTTAGCCAGAAATACGCGTATCATCGTGTTTGGTTGAGCACTTTCATTCCTTTTGGTACGGCACGCCGTGAAAATTTGTCTTCGACGTATGAAATGAAAAGCGTTATTAATGTCAAAATTGCAGTTTACAGGACTGACAAATTTAATGTGCGAAAATACAATATATCGCGTCACGCTGCACGCGGTTATCGAATTATGAATATTATCATGTAACTTACGCGTTTCAATCTGTGGTAACAGTTTACGATGGGGTACATATTCATATTTATTTATTATATTTTTCTTTTCTATGTAGGATATATATACACTGAAAAAAAAGATTGG